ATTCAATAGTCGGTAAAACGCCGCTTTTAAATATAATCAATTCTCGGTTACGACTGACGATGCAGGACCATTAAGGACACTTAAGGGAGCAGGCCTACGTGTTTATGGGAATGAGTCTCACAAAATACGATTTCACATAAGGGCTGTTGAATGAATACGATTCGTCCCCTTAAGACAAAATGTCCCGACACTAATACAATTTGTGGCCATCACGTGGCAGCAGCCAACTAAGTAAAATTTACTTTACCCGATAACCTGCTGAACGATCGTCCCGATTTTTCGAGCTGTAAAACGGATTTGGCCACTTATAAAATAGAATTAACCGCTATAAACCTCTTTTCAAAAACTCTAGCAAAAAAGCGAATTTTGAAAATTAGTTCTCAAACTCCGAGAAAAAAAATCAAACATGTGGGTTTTATAGCCGATGGCGACATGCTTCCTGAATCCAACACCATGACACTCAGCAAATCGGAAAAGAATAGGAGCGCTCGTTAAAGTGAAATTGAGAAAACACCTCCCTCCCACGCCCTTTACCGCACCGTTGCATCACACACTCGCCCGATGAGGCCCTTCCGTCGCACGGTGGCACGCGCCAGGCCCTACGCGCGTGCGGCCAGCCCCCGCCAGAGGAGCGCGGACTTGCGGACATGCAAGGCAACACTCGGTTTATACTTTCTCACTTTGCATCTCAATCTATTTTCTTTTCCCCTTTTTTTCACAGATAACTAGAGATGCGTACTACTATTACAACCGAGGCAAACCGCTTTGTAATAGTAGAATACATAACTTTTTCACATATTTATGTCTTCCTTCGAATACCTTCTAAAAATTGTTTGAGCAGACTCAAATATCATTGCAATTTGGGAACTGCCGGTGTGAAAAAAAATTAACTAAATTCTGTAAATATCACCATATTCCATCTCCTCACATCTTATTTTAGATATATTTTACTTTTAAGGTCTTCGATATCATTCCCACCTTACTCGAAATCTTCCATTGGTCACATACAAGAATACAAGGAATGCGGTGGAGTATACGCACGAGCTTTATCCATAACTCGATTTTTGATCTCAAACGGCGTTTATCTGCTTTAAAATTCATTCTGGTTAATGCTCTAAATGATTTCAATATGTAAACAAATAGCATTTATTATTTACAACAAATATACAAATGACCCCCTCCCCGAAAATAATCGCATGGTCCGCTCCTGATGTGACACCTCTCCTAACTCCGTAAGCGAAGCGATAACAAACCCTCGTATATGCATCGGAAGCGACCGCCAGAACCAGCACAGATCTGCGTCTCCCCACGCAACGCTTCAGGGGAGAGGCGAGCGGTGAGAGGGAGATTGAATTTTCATAGACGCGAGCTACAATACTGGTAACATTGGTAGTTTTATCTCATTAAACTAAAGTAAATTATAATTTTGAATTTCTTGGTACTTTTTATGCATGGAGCCCCGCAGTTATCTACAGTGTAATTTTGTGTTATTATTATATTATTATTATTATATTATATATATTATTATTATTATTATTATATTATAATTCACATTTATTCAAAAATACCGAAATGAAAGGTAGACCTGAGAGATCGAGTCGCTAGGACATGCCCAATACTTCACAACTCTACCAGCACTAAGCAGAGAGAGAGCGAAGAGAGATGAGGGAGAGAGAGAGAGAGGG